CCGCCGACATTTCCCCAAGTACGGGGGCCCAGCCCATGCGCCGAGCGGCGCTGAGGATCGTCGCGAAGTCCGCCGCAATGGTGCGGGGGTCGGATGCCATGATCGCCGAAGGCACAAAGAAGGCTAAAGAGAAAGCTTAAGCGCCGAGCTTGGACCAGAGTGCTAAGGCAGCTGCGCCGTTGCGATTGTTACTTCGCACACACGTGTGCTACTCGACAAATCCTGGATTGCTTTGTGTTCGTTGAACTGCGAAGGAGTCATACTGCTCTTCAGCTGCTAAGCTTTCGGCTTGATTAATAGCAGCGGGGGATAAAAGCTATACTCGGGAGTTCATCTCCGTCGGCCGCGAGGACAAACAGCTTTCTGACACTGCAACCGCACAAGACTTTTTCCACCTGCCTGCGATTGCATCCTCGGCGTCCTCACTACGGACTTTACGAGCAATTGCGACCACTTCGACGTCAGTGACATGCGAAATTGCTTGGTGGATTGCGAAACGAACAAACACAACGGTTGAACAAGTGGGTCAACCTGAGACGCGTCCATTCATCCGATCTGTTTGGCATAGGAGCTGTCACAACTCACAACTGTTAACACTATAACATGCATGAACAAGACAGCACAACTACGCTTGTACAATCGCTGCCATTCCCACCACTCACAGCTGTTAGTCGTCCTTCTCTTTCCTCAGATTGCATTGCGTTGATACCTCTCGATGCCTGCATCCCCTTACGCTGCATGCTTGCAACTAGGAAAGCGATCTTTGAGGCACGTGTCGATCTGCACCAAAGGACGATTCCTCCAACCAGAACGGCCTTGGTGACTCTCGCACTCTCGCATCTGGTTGAAGAGCTGGGCAAATCAGAGGCTGCGGCTGTCACACCCCACTTCAACGGAGTGTCAAAGCGCAAGGCATCCCAGGCAGTGATCATGTCGACCTCCTTGGGAGCCGGCAGTGGCAGATCACCTGCACTGAAATTGCTCGCCTCCGGGCCTCCAAATCTCGAGGTTTCAGGTCACCGCCAGGTGTCACGGTCAACCAAGGAACACGGTAGGTTGGCCACTTCCTGAGCCTGACAAGCGTCGAACGCTCCACGGAAGAGAAGAGGAGGAACTCGGGACACGGCTTGGTTCTGGCATAGATAATCGGTGAATTGGCATCCTCGTCTCGAAACTCGGTCAGATACCTGCATTGGGCCCAATAATGATTAATCCGCGACGGCAGAGTGCCCGGACGGGCTTTCCGCCATCAGACATCTGAGCGCTGAGTGCAAAGGTCATGCATGACCGTGGCGCGAACCAACTGTATCTTTTGCCGTCGAGAGAGGCGTGGACTAGAGCAAGCTTCACCTGCGTTGCACATGCACATCTCAGGTCACGTGACAAGATGCTTTCTAAGACACATGCTTCTCATTCCACGCGGCCTCCTTCGCTGTCGTGTTGTAAGCGCTGCACCCGAGCGTACAACTGAAAACCATCGTCTGCGCATCGCTCAGGGGCTACAGCTGCGGCTACTAGTAAGAGTAGCAGTGGCAACACCGCAGGCCTTCTCACGCTGCTCCCAAGGAACGAAGCGGTCGAAACTCTTGTGGTAAAACAGCGGCTCGAACCTCGAGGCAACGCCGTTGCAACAGATGGCCACAGCCATTCCAAAGGTCCAGACTGGTAGAAGCCATTGAACTGAGCAGCCTTCGAATCCGAAGCAACACCCGTGAGATTGCATCAAATGGATCGACAGATCATCCCACCTCTGCGGCCGCGATGACTGGCAGTGAGTTGTTGTCAAAGGAAATCCTATGCAGCAGGTGTAGCAGCAGGAAGACTCCAGAAGCCTTACACATAAGCAAGCTGAGAGCACGGGTCAAGGTCCACTTTGCCGAATCCTCGCAAGATCATCACCTGCGAAGTAGCATCTTCGCGAAATGAGCCGAGGTACCCCAGCAGACCACTGAAAACATACTTTTTCAGCAGCCAGCTCTCGTATTGCGACTGCATTCTTGTGTGCGCCGAATTCGTCTCCACACACGTTGCAGGTCCAGCGAACAAACAACGTCTCTTGCCGGAACAACACTACAAGTCAAACGGCGCGAATGTGACGCCCCATCCTCGTGTCTTTGAAGCATAGGACCCTTGTTTCGCTGCGACACTGCTGGGCTATGCCCTCGGTGAGAAACAGGCTTGAAACCTGTCACGCGCGCAGCAGAATTAGTTGTTTGTGATTAGGAGTATGTCTGACATGCTGGGTCTTGTCACTTGGAAGTAATGTGCCGGCCCTTTTAATAAGATGTGCCTCTTTAATGCGTTCATTTTCTTATTCAGTGCCAAAAAACGGGCGATCTAATCAGTGTTTTGCTTGGGGGCCTGGCATTTTTTTGATTGTGTTGCTTCCCTTCTAGTAGTGGTCAGTCTTAAAGCAGCCACGACCTGAACCCCCCCTAAACCCTAAAACCCTGGCCCTGAAGCACGAAACTCCGCTCAAACCCGAAACCGCCCTGAAGCCTAAAGCCTTGCGCGTCTCTCAGGACGATTCT